GAGCACAGTGATATCAAAGCAGACGTGATAGCACGCGGTCTATCTTTTCAGGTCAAGGACGATAGCACGTTGCTCTATTGAATTAAGGCCGTTTCATGAGCACAGTGATATCAAAACAGCCGCCCCCGCTCCAAAAAAAAAAAAAAATCTTATAAGCAGCCCACCAGGGGCCTCGTCCCACTTACACCGTTGAGTTCAGGTAGCTCAACAGTGTGACAGACGGAAAAACATTAAAATAATGGAAAACAAATGGAAACTAAAATGGAGCAGCCTTTTTCAGTATTTTTGGGTAGTTTGTTTTCTCGGGAAATTGTTTTCCATTTCGTCGGGGGTAATGATGACGAGGCAGCCAAAATGGGATGGTTGCTGCCTCCTGACAACGACCATCCGCATAAAGCGGGAATTTCACGAAAGCGGACAAGACAGTCAAGCCGTGCAAAGTAGAAAAAGGTCGTGGGCCAGGGTGAACGTACCTGCACCGTAGCATTGTCCAGGTTCAAGGTCGGTGTGCTCTCTTTTCTTTTCTCTCCTTGTCTGGGAGGAAGGGTCTTGGAAACTATAAGGCGGTTGTTCAATTCCACGCCGTCGCAGATGGGGCACTGTGTTGAAAACTCGTACAGGATGCGTGTTTGTGGGAGAGTGGGGTGTCTTTGGTTTCAGGCCGTGTGAGGTTCAAAACTCTATAGCTATTGTCACTTGTGTTTGGCCAGACCTTATCTGTGGCTGAGGCTGTCCGCCATTCAAGTATCGTTGCACTGGCTTCCTGTCGTAAGGTGTAGGGGACGTGTGTGGGTATCCTCGATAGGGTCCATACCTACGACCCCCGCCCACTTACATTTCACGATACGTATGTGATTTTGGGGGGTTACACAGCATGGGCTCGGTTGTTGAAGAGGGTTACGAGGAGGCCATTGTCCCCATTCTTGCATGTGCTCAGCAACTTGCCGAAGATGCGGTTCGGGTCTTTGAAGAAATTTGGAGCAGGCCTGTATGGACGGGAAAACGTTCCGTGGACGAAATTTTAGAGCGGCGTACACMGGACGACAGTGCAGCGCGGAAGAGACGTAGGTGTGTTACTTGGCAATGGCCTGCCATAGTGTCCRTATGTGATCTCATGCCCCGCAATTCACCTCGTTGGTGGGTCATGCGTCGCACCGGCAGGGCGTGGAAGGACCTGGAGGTCACTGACGATGCTGAAGATGACCACTACCTCACCCTCTTGCGCATGCGCAGATCCACCTTCAACCGCATTCTTCGTGTCGTGTCACCGCACCTTCAGAGAGAGAGAGAGAGAGAGAGAGAGAGAGAGAGAGAGAGAGAGAGA